AGAAAGGGCTGGAGGTGGCACTCAGTGCTCTGGGCTAGGGGACAAGGTGGGGACGGGTCAAAGTTTGGAATCAACAATCCTGGAGGTGCTTTCCCACCTCAGGGAATGAATTCTGTGAGCCTGGGCTGCAGAGAGCCTGGAGGGACACGGGCAGAGCCCGGGGTGCAGCTCAGCCCTGCAGTGGGGGCATGGTGAGGGTGGCACAGGGACAGCAGGACACCCCCAGGACACCCCCAGGACACCCCCCAGCAGTGACAGCTCACCCAGTGCTGCCCAAAGACTGGGGTGGAAAAAAAGCTGGAGGGCAAATAATTTATCTGCTGCCTGAAGCCAGGAGATAAAATTGCTGTGTTCCTTCAAATTGCTGTGTTCCTTCCTTTTTTTTGTTTTCCCTTTTTCCTAGAAGTTCTGCTTTTTTGCCAACCTGGAGCATTTGCAGTGACAGGACTGGGGCTGCCAGACCTCGAGGTCTTGCAGTGCCTAATTCCTGCTCCCTTTGTCTCTCAGAGAGGATCTCACCTGGCCCAGGAGAGACAAACAACGTGGTAGAACTCATTTTATGAGTTAAACCCTCACCCCAAACCCTCAGGGCTTTACAAGGACCTCCAGATCCTTCCCAAAGAAGGTCACTTGTGCAAGGAGTCACCTCTCTGGGCTTCAAAAGTGAGCCCAGGGAGAAAAAAAAACTGAATTCCCAGAGGGAAACCAACCCAGACAGGGGCAAAACCCCCCAACCAGGCTTTGTGTTCCCTTCCCATCTTCAGCAGCTGCCTGAGTGTCTGTCCCTGACCTTTCTGATGGCAAACCTGAGTCACTGCAAGGCTCCTCCGAAGCAGGGGAGGATGTGAAGAGACAAAAAGCAGGAGATAAAGGATCTGGGGTAGCCACAGCAACAGAAACTCGTCACAGGCTGGGGAGAAACCCACGAAGAAGAAAAAAGGCAAAGGAGGAAGTGAACATGAAAAGCATAAAGGGACAGATCGGGGGGGGGGAGTTTTGGGTCTTGTTAAAAATAATTATGATCGCTCCTGTAACACGAAATACGTCTGGAACAGCCAGGTCTGAGAGGAGGGTTCACAGACAGCAAAACCCAGCTCATTTTTTCCAGTGTGGCTCTCAAATACTGTCTGTTCTTGCCCCAATCCTCCTCTAAAACTCAATGACTGCTGTTTCTGTTCTTGCCCCAATCCTCCTCCAAAACCGAAGGCAGCACAGCAATAATGAAAAAAAAAAAAAAGGAAAATCCCTGAATTTTAAACAAATATGCTTGATAAAACTCCAGGCAGAGAGAAAAAAATACTGTGGATGGAAAGACAAGAGGACTCAGGGTTTTGTTTGGTTTTCCTCACGGGTTTTGGGAGCAACCCAAACCTCTGCAGCTCCTCACGAACAATGGAAGGGGCTGTAACTCATGGCCAGTGCAACTGAAAGGAAGTGGAGTTATCCATGGAAAAAAAGGCATTATTCTCCCCCAGAAATACAGTTATTAGTCATTTTTACAGTTGGTTCTTAAAACAATCCCGAGGGGCCAGATTTAAGTGACAACAGTCAGACACAAAGCAGCCCAGCCTCACGTTACCTGCTCACACTGGGGGTGAAAAATAAAAGCTGAAGTGTCTCTCAAGTGCCTGAAAAAGAGGGGAAATCTGAAAGGTTGAAAAACAGGAACTCGCTTGGTGACAAGGCCTGCACCTCTGAGAAGGGAAAGTTTCATTTCTGGCAGTAGGAAGACGAGCGTGGGCAGAGGCAGCACCAAATCATTCACCACTCTCAGCCTGTGTTCAGCTACTTCCTGGCATTTTAGGGAGGACTGGACCAAAAAAAAAAAATTCCAAGCAAGTTTTTCACAGAAAAGTGACAAAGGCAATTAAAAATAAAAAATTGCTATTCCTTCATTTCCGAGAGAGTTTTTCACAGAAGAGTGACAAAGGCAATTAAAAATAAAAAATTGCTATTCCTTCATTTCCAGGGAAATATCTGTGCTGGTTTATTTAAACTGGCAACTCGCCAACCAACACCCAAATCCTCAGCAAATCCAATCACAAATCACAAACTGCTTTGGGTTGGAAGGGACCTTAAAGAAAAGCTCATTCCAAACTCCTGTCACGGGCAGGATTCCCAGTAAATGCCTTCAATCCTATCAAATATTGAGTTTTTTGATGGGATTATCCAGTACAGGGATGGCATCACTCAGTACAGGGATGGGATCATCCAGTACAGGGATGGGATCACCCAGCACAGGGATGGGATCACCCAGCACAGNTTCCCAGTAAATGCCTTCAATCCTATCAAATATTGAGTTTTTTGATGGGATTATCCAGTACAGGAATAGGATCACCCAGCACAGGGATGGGATCACCCAGCACAGGGATGGGATCACCCAGCACAGGGATGGGATCACCCAGCACAGGAATGGGATCACCCAGTACAGGGATGGGATCACCCAGCACAGGGATGGGATCACCCAGTACAGGGATGGGATCACCCAGTACAGGGATGGGATCACCCAGCACGGGGATGGGATCACCCAGCACAAGGATGGGATTACCCAGTACAGGGATGGGATCATCCAGCACAGGGATGGGATCCAAATCTAGGGCAGGATTGAGCAAATGCCACTTGTCCTCAGCTCCCCCAGCAGGGCCAGGAGATGTTCCTTCTCCAGCCCTGTTTTTTGAGGAAATCTCCAGCTGGGGAAGCTGCAGGAAGGCACAAGAACACTCTGCATCGGGTTCATTCCTGTTCAGCTGAGGCAGGAAACGAGGGAGATTCCTGGAAGCCCACGGGACAGAGGGGCTGAGACTTGTGACACGCCACCAGCTCATCTGTTCCTGTGGGCTGCCCTTATCACAACCCACAGCAGCCTCACAGGGCCCAGGAGTTCTCAGCACCTCTCTCACTTACAGGGAAATGTGGTTCCTGCCCCGTGGCCCCCGAGCTGCTGCTGCCCACGGGCTGATGCTGCTCCTCTTCCGAGAACCTGCCGGGTGTTCCCTGGAATCCCTGCTCGGAGTCATCCGCCCACCCCCCAGGAGGAGTGAACCTTGAGGTTCAAAGAGCTCTTCTGGAGGGGCTGAGCCTTATCATGTGCCAGGTCCTGCACTTTGGCCACAACAACCCCTGGCAGCCCTACAGGCTGGGACAGAGTGGCTGGAGAGCAGCCAGGCAGGGAGGGAGCTGGGATTTGGATGGACAGGAAGCTGAACAGGAGCCAGAGTGTGCCCAGG